TATTTTGGAGGACTGGCAGGTGCCAGGCACTGGGCAGCCCATTTTTAGCATCAGACTTGATGCCGGGCCAGACGACACGTTGCGTGAGGAGGCGCGGGAGGCCCGCACACCCGCGGTTGAGACCATGGATGCGGTCGAAAAACAGCGCGCGGCGGTGGACGTGAGGCACGAACGGTCTAGGCTGTCCACAGGATACGTCGCACCACAATTTTATCTTTGTGCCAGGAACAGGAGTTTTTGGAGGTGAGGCCTGAGGGGGATGGGGTCTTGTATGCTGCCAGGTCTTCGTCTTTCTCTCTTTGAGCTGCGGCTATTGCCCATAATCAATGGGTGGAGATGAGGAAGAATGTTGATGTACAACGAGAGAGGCGTCGGCGATCCTGTTGTGGCTGCTTTAATGTGTTGGACGTCGCTGGAGAACTCCGAGATGTAAGCTGGCGGCGCAGGACACGAGGCGCAGACTGGGAAGCTGAAGCGAAGGCGTGGACGAGGGCTTGTGATCAGTGAAGCGGTGAACTGATGGGCCTCGAGGAAGTGTTGGAAATGTTTGACAGCCAGGTATATGGTCAGGAGTTCTCGATCAAAGGCGCTTGTACTTGAGGTGGTGGTTAAAGCTGTTGTGAGAAGAAAGAACGGGCATGAGAATTTGCTGATCTCCTGTTGCAAGACGGCGCCCACTGCAGTAGAAGAAGCGGCTTGTTGTGAGAGTGGTCCGGCGTTAGGTGCGGGTGGGCCAGGAGGGTGAGAGGCATGTAATGTGTTGTTTGATAGTGGTGAATGCTGTAGAAGCCTCCTTGAGTCCACACGAGATTCTAGAGACTTCTTTGGGCGTCCCTTGAGAAGGTCGTGTAGGGGGGGCTAGGACGGCAAGGCAGGCAGCTTTGTCAATGAAGCGGTGGTAGAAGTTACTGCAAACCTAGAATTCTCGGAGTTTCTTCGCCGTTTCAGGTTTGGGGAACTCCCAATCACAGTTATCTTCTGTAGGAGTTTGTGGCGCCACTGGGCGCGACTCTGTGACCGAGGAAATCGATGGCCGAGGTTCCAAAGACGACTTAGCAGGATGAACTTTCTTCATGTTGTTGTTCTGCAGGCGTTGGAGAAGGCTGGAGCCAGGTGGTGGTGGCGGTACCGGCAGGCGTCGAAGATGCGACGAGGATGTCGTCAATGAGACGGTGACAAAACTGGAGGTCGCTGGCTATTATGGTCCATGTTCCTCTGGAAAGTCTACAGTGCCGCACTGCGCAAGCCAAACCATGAAAGTGGACTCGAAGAGTCCGAATGGAGTGGTGATGGCTGTCTTCTGCATCTGCCTGTAAGCATTAGGATCTGGTGGAAGGCATGCCCAGGTCGATCTTCGAGAAGATAGTCTTGCCAAGGAAGTTTGTGGTGAAAGTCCTGGACATGCAGAATAGGGTACCTGTCAAGTTTGGTAACGAGATTCAGGCTTCCTGTAGTCGCTACACACCCTCCACTCGCCGGGTGTTTGCTGAGAACTGCGGAAGAGGCGATGCCCAGGGACTCCTTTTTGAAGGGCGAATGATGCCGTCTGCAGTAGTTTGTTGAATTCTACTTGGCTGTGTTCAGGAGCTCAGGGCGAGGCGAAGCAGGGCGTGAAAAGATTCGGTGGTCCTTGGCCTCGATGTGGTGAAAAATTCCCCGATGTAGGTGGTGGGGGGTAGGGAGACTCAGGTGAGAAAAAGCTCTGAATTTGCCGAGCAGGGAGGAGAACTCGTTGGAAGGCGCAAGACAGGTGATAGTGTCGGTGTGTTGGCACGAACCCTGGATCTTGCATGCTGTAGGCCCGCGGATGTGCGCATAAGATGACATGGTTTGACGCCGAGCTTGTGGGAAGGTGAGAGGAAGCTGAACCATGATGGGTTGAGACACGTCTGCCATCACGAATACCCAACGCAGAGTCTTGGGCAGACCGGGAGGTCTAAGGCGAGGGTGCGACGCCGAGGAGGCGATGGAGGTGGTCATGGCAGCTTAACAGGTCATAAGAGGGTTGCTTTGACTTGTCTCGTAGTGAGGAAGGATGAGGCCGACCGATGAACCTGTGTCAGATGAGGAACTTATGCCGGAGGTGCGGTCGGTGACGCGAGTAATGAGATCGCCTGAAGGACGAGGCTGAGGCGTCTACCAGCCCGTGTTGCTGTTTCCGAATAGGTGCAATAGGGCTCACAGTTTCGAGCATTGCGGCCGAAAGTCTGGTGATACCAGCAGAGGGTACCGAGCAGTTGGGGGCTGGTTGCCAGCGTCGGAACTTGTAGGGCGGTGTGAGTCAGGAACTGGCGCAGCAGCGGAGAGCAGAACTGCTCACGGTGTCCATCCTGCAAGGTTCAAAAGTTTGCACAGGTCCTTGATGTTCCCAGAGGTATTGCTCGGTTGGAGGGGGTGCTGGACCCGGCCAGCAAGTTCGGTGGTAGGTACTGGTGTGACTGCGTTTAAGGGGCGGCAGCAGCGCAAGCACCTGCTGGAAAATTCTGTCTCGTCACAAGTGTATTATAATTCTGGTGTCGCAGAGCAATCTACCGCGGACAGGATGTTGAGTACTTCTCTGTGGAAGCTTGTGCGTGAAGCTGGCGAAGGATAGAGTCGGGGAAATTGTCTAGACGGGGAGTTCAGCGACACATCTCTCCCAGAGACGCCCCAAGTTAAGTTCCCTGAGGGAGATAGAGGATAGGTCTTGCAGGAGATTGGGGCTGGTCTGTTGATAACATTGCCTCAAGGCAGCCCGCAGGGTAGCGAATTTGTTGTCATCTGAGGTTGGAAATGGTCTGTGAGACTATGTGGCGACTTCGTAAGGGGCGGCACAGAGCAGGGCGCGCCATACTTTGCTCGTCAGGTCGCTTGTGAGCCGACGAGGCTGCTTTCCACATGATCTAACCAGTCCTCGACGTTGTGGGTTGAAAGTCGGTAGAGAGAGCCGTCCGTCCTCCATTCTGTGTGTGAGTGTTTTTTCCGGAGTCACCATTTGTAGGTTACGATATTGCGTTGTTCAGCACTCAGGATGGATGGAAACTCTAAGGTGGTGGCTTATATATGACGAAATTATATGGTGAAGGTCTGGTGCTGAGGATGCCAGGTGAGCTACCAGTAGACACCGTTCCGGTGAGTAGCGTGTTGAAGGAGGTAGATGCAGGAGCCTGTTAGAGAAGATGTTGCCCGTTGCTGGCCTCCTGGTTGAATGAAAAGCTGGACAGCGAGGAGCTGCCGGAGGAGGTGTTGCGTGTTCAGGAATGTAGAGTAGAATGGAATCAGCACGGAGAGACAGAGCTTATATACACAGCTGCCGGAAGCAAACCGTGGAAGTCGCTGGTTTCTGACTCTGGTTGTTAGGGAAGACAAAGGGTTGCTAGGATACTGTGGTATCTGGTGACGCCTCTGGGCTGCCTGTTTGGTTGCTAGGGGAAGACGTGTAGCAGGTGACTGGCTGCTAGATACTGTAGTATTAAATGCAATATAAGCGAGGAGAGGACGTCCACTGGCAGTCTGTTTGCAGCTGCCTACTGCCCAATCTGTTTGGTAGCTGCCTACTGCCTGTGCCTACTAATTGCATATTGTTTAGTTGGATTCTACACACACACACACACACACACACACACACATATATATATATATATATATATATATATATATATATATATATATATATATATATATATATATATATATATATATTGATAAAATCACACGAGGAAAAGGAAACAACGGAGCACCTTAGCTTTCGTCTTGAATATAGACGAAAGCTAAGGTGCTCTGTTTTCCCTTTCCATATTGTATCAAGATTATCTTATCCATGTTTTCATTGTGGATTACAAAATATATATATATATATATATATATATATATATATATATATATATATATATATATATATATATATATATGTATATATACATACTTACTCAAACCGGTGTAAATTAAGGTACTTGGAGCCGGCCACTATTATGTATGCTCACATGACTCCCTTCCTCGGGAGAAAATACTGTAAGTACAGTATAACAATATGGTTGGTTAAGATGTGTTGAAAGGTAAGAAATCGAAAAGTTATGACCATGAGCAATCAGATTACTAATTTGGATAAACTGAAGTTTAGCCCCTAGATTTTTAGGATATTTCACCTTAACCATAGTATGGCTAGGTTAAGTTCAGTCAGGGTATGTGTGTGTGTGTGTGTGTGTGTGTGTGTGTGTGTGGAGCCTGCAGTGTGTGTATATATATATATATATATATATATATATATATATATATATATATATATATATTTATATATATATATATATATATATATATATATATATATATATATATATATATATATACATATATGTATATATAGTATATTATATATATATATATATATATATATATATATATATATATATATATATATATATATATATATATATATATATATATATGCTGATAACCAGAAGGAAAGAAGAAAACACAAGTTCCAAGCGCTTTCGTGTAATTCACAGTGATTTATATGTATAATATATATATATATATATATATATATATATATATATATATATATATATATATATAATGGTATAGTAATCATAAAGTGTTAAAAAGGCCTTGCTACCGTGCTACAGGTATTCAAATTTCCCGGTATATATCTTGTGATAACAGCTGCCATGTAAGGATGGGAGAATAAAGTACGATTAACTTCATCTAGTGTGTAATTATTCAGTTTTGTCTACTTCCAGAATGCTCGCTTACTTTTATCTTAGCTGTGGTGACATAAAACATTTTAATTAAGTTTATATATACGAATATACCTAAATGTATGACTTACAAAATCGATCATATGATTCCAAGATAACATTGTCTGGAGCTTTCCCATTGGTGGATATTAACCAATCCCAGAGAAGGTAAGATATTGTCATGCAAATAGTTCTAAGCGGTATATATCGCTGCCTCTGGTTGGCTATTGGAAGAGAAATGTCATCATCCGTACCAATCACGAGGCGTGATACAAGGTGACCATCACGGGACTCAGCTGGCTTATGCACTTGCGCCGGAGACGTCGAGCTAGTCGCAAGTGTTATTGAGTATTGTTTGCTGCTGGTGCTCTAAACCCCCTCAAAATGTCTGACGACGGTAGTCCTATCTATTCCCCATTCTTTGGCGTCATGGGTGCTGCTTCTGCCATGGTATTCAGCGGTAAGTTAACCAAAATGTGTAAAACTTGAAAATTATGGTATGTGGGTATTGATTCTAGGTGATACCTCACCATTATACTCTTTATTCCTCAGGTAATATAAGTGTTTTGACTGTGTAATTTGATTACAAACAAGGTTTATCCAAGCAGTTTTATCAAGTTTGACAAGAAAGTGGTCCGCTGCTGTACTAACACAATGTTGCCCGTGGTGTCATCAACACGTCTGGCCTCACGTATCACTTTAATACGCTTTATTATGGCAGGGTCTGGTGAACATTTGCTTTAGGGAGCAACTAAGTCGTTGATTGTGGAAATAACTATGTTTCAGACACCCATCCCAGAAAAAAGTTCCCCCGAGTCCATTATAAGCAGTGGTGAAGTATATAGGAAGTTTCCCGGTACACTGAGATGAATCTTCATGCCATGATAATCTAGCACCATTCATAAATTTATTTCCATATCCTCCTTTTAAGCACCTTGAGAAACTTCATATGGTGAAATATGGCATTAGACAGTAGCATTGGTTAATTGTTTTCATGACAAAGGTACACCTGAGCAGGCTGTGGTAATAGGCCAGGTGAATTGCACATAACTACCTACTATATTAAATTTCACCATAGAACATAAATGCTTTCTTACTTCATGACAGTGAAGGCACTACTCAGTCGAGTGCTCATACCCGTAGCTGGCAGATACTTGCCCCACTAGGGATCACGGTTAAGTCTCTTTCTAACGTCCCTAGTTTCTAGAGAAAGAGTTAATATTGGTTAATATTTGTCCCTTGGCTGCCCGCAGGTTCCTGCCATGTTTACCCGAGGTTATGCTCCTCACTTAGTTAGTTGTCTCTTCCTTTCCTCATCCTCCTTGTAGGATAGACTAGGTATGTTGGTTCTTTTGGGTAGAGAATAGGTTTTTTTTTTTGTAGTTTACTCGAATCTGATCTCCAGTTTTGTGCAAATTATCTGTTTATTAGAAATGAAATGTTAATTTTTTGTAAAAAGTGCTAATTTGCACAAGAAATGAGTCCGATTTGAGTAAAACACACCGAAAAATGTTAAAAAAACCTATTCTCATACCAAAACTCGAGGTCAGCCAATGGACGAATATTTACCTTAACATTTTGCTATTTGTACTTTAGATGTAGGTTACAATACCTTTCAAAATTCTTGGATAGTTATTATTTTGGAGGTACAGTCGGTCCTTAACATCTGGGGATTACATAACAGAGATACCCGTGGATGTTAAAAATCCGCGTATATGTGCTGCCCCCCACCAAAACAAACCTGTTTCCCCATGTCCTTATTTACGTATATACCTGTGTGGGTTCAAGTTTTTAAGACCAAATTATTTGGCAAAATTGGGGAGTGGACCTCTAAGCGGGTAACAGTTTCGTTAGGTTGAAAAATATTTACCAGTAACTACCAGCAAACAATGGAAATGACACACCAACACACCACCAGCTGTGAGTGTCGGTACAGCTGCTAGGGCAGATCTCTTCGTCATCATAGCAAGCCCAAAGTAGCCAAATGCATGGTATGGTATACAGGACGATGTAAAACATAAAGTATTCATTTTTAAAGTTTATTTATAGATACTGTACATAAATTTTTGTTCATTACATTTGAAACAACAATCTTTGTTAATTAAATTTGAAACAAAAGAAAACTACGATACCGTATTTGTAAATACCTGGTATTTTCATTAAAATATTACATCACAAGTATATTTTACCTTAACTGTGACTGAATGAATATAGGTATTCTCAGAAATAAATATTGAAATATGTTACGTTTTAAATGCAGGAAAGTGGCTTTCTTGCCGTAGAACTCGGATACCTTCACACTGGTTACTCACCCAAGAGATTATGGTGTATCCTCTACGTAGAATTTTGCTCTGCTTCCGGCATTCACTGCGTTATGTACTTGATAAATGATGATTTAATGAATTCCAGTAACTTCCAACATCCATCTAAGTTATTGGTTGTACTTGTCATAACCAATCAGTCATTACCCTTGGTAATAATAATAATAGAGGGATCACAGATACGGGCAGATGATTGCACTTACGTTTATTTGGCACAATTCCATACACTGGACTTATAATTTGCATGGATAGGTCAGTCACTCACATTCCGCCACAGTACTGTAAGTTATAAGGAGAGTTTGTCAACCTGGAGAAGTGTCGTTTAGATCTATTAGGCGGCCTGGAGTGCTTTTGTAGCAAACAGGCCTCACCATCGATCACTTCCTTTACAGGATGTGTTAACGTAACTGGACTTAACAAAATCTCGAGGTTGCACACACAGACTCGTAGCACTGGTAGGACTGTATAGCCCTGTTCTTAAGTCCGCAGGCAGGAAGGTCTTCTCTAACTAAGGTCTAAAGCCCACTGGCTAAATTGGTTTTTGGGCGTGATGATGAACAGTACACCACTGTCTCACTGTCCTGCCCCCCCCATCGGCTGGCGGTTACCTTATTTCTACCATAAACAAACATTTGGGATGGGTTGTGCGGGAGGCCATAACCCATGACAAAATATAATATTTTGCTGGAATGGCGTACATATTACAGTGGAAAAGCCGAAAACAATGACTTTTGCTTATCGCTTTGAATGGCTTCGGTTAAATAACTGTTGTACTCTGTGATTGCATACAATAATATTCTATCTCATCATTAGCCTTATAATCCCACACAATCACGAAAAAACCATTCGGTGTTTATTACGGTAACATCTTTTGAACGAAAAGAAAGAGAAAATCATTGCTGGCCACAATTTTATCCCACTTTCCACTGTAATACGCACATCATTTCAGCAAAATATTACATTCCATGTTCTCGGAAACAAATGGTATGTTGAAACGAATGTACAATATTAATATTAAAATGCAAAATAGTTATAAAACAATTAATACATTCGGCAATGTACTGGCTGGCATCTCCACTCGTCCCTGCTCCCCACGTCCAAGGTCACCACTCCTCTCCCAACTCGCTCCTCCTGCCCTCCCTACCTCCTCCACCTCCCGCCTCCTCCACCTCTGCCTCCTCCCTGTCACTACTGCCACAACGAACACAAATAGCCCAGGAATAACTGCACCTCCATTTCCTATGCATGGTACTGAACTGGTACTGCGTTGCATTTTACAAACAATAAACATGGCAAGAAAAGCTATTAAAAAGAGAGGTAATTTCACATTACTGTACAGTACCTATCCTCGTGACAGGACGGGCTCATCGTACCATCGTCATCACAATTCCATAACTGGTGAAGTGGGGGCGACGGTGGATTCAGCTGCTTCCTCACTGCCGCCAGTGATTGATGGTGTTAAATCTCTCCTTCCGGTGATCAAAGAACATGGTGATGGGAGTTGTCGCCTCTTCTTTCATTTCTTCCATGATGTTTTGTATGGAGCGAAACGTCATCCATCCTCAAGATGAATTGCGATTATCGCACTTTCATGGAGGGGGCCAGGTTTTTCAGTGCGTTTCAATATTCCTGGTCATCTCCCCCAACTTCTCCACCAACGCTATTTCTGGTGCTCATCCCTTCCCTTTCGCCTCTTCTCGCCTGAGTTCATTAACCTGTAGATCCCCTCCTCGGTCAGCCTAGTGTCGTGTTTCCTTCAATTAGCTCCTCCAATCTCGTCCTCTGCCATGTCTTGAAGCCTTCAGCAGCCACTCTCATCAGTGCCAGTGGTCTTTTCTGATTATTTTTCATTAAAATCCATCAAAATCATTTTCCTTGTCATCGCCTTTGTGCACCAAACAGCTCCTCCCAGTCTTCTCTTGAACAGGCTAGAGGGTACGCGGTTTTTCTAATCGCTTAATTAAAAAGTTACAGCACATGTATATTTTACCTAAACTGTGCCTGAATGAATATATTCTCAGAAATAAATAGTAGTTTTGCTGAAAACGTGATGTATTTCAATGTAAAATAGGATAAAATACATGCACGAAACAAAAGACTTTACCTAACCTTCCAATGTTCAAGAGATGTTACTCGTTTTTAATAGTTTGTGGTTAAAATACTGTTATATTACAATGATATTATATTCATATTGCGTTTGATATACTACATTCACGAAATGGGTTATATTTATGAAATGATGCACGACATAGTGTGAAAGACGCAAAACAATGGTGACTCACTCTTTCTTTCGCTCAAAAGATGCTACCGTAATCGCTTTTCGAATGGTTTTCAGTTAAAAACTGTGCATCATAAGTAATTAGATAGAATATTATTGCAATAAACAGTTTTTAACTGAAACCATTCAAAAGCGATTACGGTGAAGATGGGTAAACGAAAAGAAAGCGTAGTCATTGTTGGCCATCGCATCAGAATACGTATGTCATTTCAGCAAAATATTACATTAACATATTCTCAGAAAGAAATAGTTTTGCTGGAAACGTATCGCATTTCAATGTAAATTAGGATAAACTACATGAAAAACAAAAAGATTTTACCTAGCCTTCCGATGATCAAGATATGTTACTGGTTTTAGTAGTTTTCGGTTAAAATACTCTATATTAGTGATATTCTATTCATACTGTGCTTGATATAATATACATTCACGGAAATGTAATATTTTTGCAACTACAATGCTGATGTTAATACGTTGCATACAGCTTAGACTGACTGGAGTGAGGGAGATTTTGCGCGTGTGTGAGGTTATGGAGTAAGTAAAGTCCCGTGTTCTAGTTTCAGTGTCACATGGAGTTGAATGCCGCGCGATTTGAATGTACTTCAATGTACAGAATATTCCTCCGGGCGGGCAATCCGTGTATTATAAACCCGTGTATGTTAAGGGCCGACTGTACTGTAATGTTGAAAGTAGATTTAATTACCATAATACTCCTTAGAAAAATCTGCTAAGTCGCTGCATGTCGTCTGTTTGCTTACAACCGACCCGCTTGGTCCGAGAGTACTCAACGTCCACTAAAACATAAAATTAACCATGACACGTTATTATTATCGTTTCAGCCATCCAGCGATTTTTAGGTTTCTA